TATATTCATCACATTCTGGTATGATAAAGTGAAAATTAAAATTAACAAACCCATAAGTTATGATGGGCACTATTATTATTATTACTTTCAAAATGTTATTGGTCAAATTAGTTAACTTTCAGCCTCATCAGCCTCACATAACAGAATGTTCACTTTGTCTGGTTTTGTTGCAGCATGCCCCAACTGATAACTGAATTGACAATAGCGAAACATCTGGACTCGTTTGAGTGAATTTTTTAATCGTGTTCTTATGACAAACACACCATGAATAATTGTGAACAAGTGTGCGTATTGATATTAATGAACGAAAAATGGTTTATTTACCTAATAATGTTACAGTACCATAGTATAGTACAAACGAAACGGCAGATCAACGAAAAAACGGTATCAGGAAAGTTGTCACGTCTAGATTTTAAAACGTGCTTTGGCATGCGCATGTATTGGCAGTAAGTTATACTTATCGTCAAACGGCGATGTAAAGTTTACTTTCCTGGAATACTTTTTTGTGAGTGGCCGCTACTTTTAAAGGGGTTTTAAATGCAGATTCTCATAAACGGACTCAATTCAATCACTACGCCTGATAAAAAACTGGACTGCAACTATAGTCACAAGAACGTGTAAAATAAATAATAATGATATTGACTAGTCGAAATACCAAATACCTAGGTTGACATCACATGACCCACTATTAGTGTTCACGATGATCGTGGCACAGATCTCTCTTTTGCCGGTCTCAAATAAAGAACTTAAATCTTTATTATTATAGGTACCAACCAGATGTTTCGAAACATTTTCCAGGTATATAGAACTCATAATAACTCTGCATCTTATAATTGGCAATGTCTTACGTAACCAGTATACATTTGTAGACGGGATTTCTTTCCATTTTGTACAGCATTGGGTAAGGGCTTTTACCACCTTATCAAGTGTAATCATCAATTCGATAATTAAATTATCGACAACACGAAAAAGCAACGCCGAGATAATGATAAAGCATAATAACTAAGCAGTAATGTACATAAATCTATTTATACAAGAAATTTGCCCCATCAACACAGGGACATCTATCGGATTGACGAACAATACTGTTCAGCGCGCGGTCAAATTGAATGAACGAGCATTATATCAACCGAAATCCTTTTAATTATAACTTCTAATGCACAGTTCTTAAATGCCTTGCTAGGAATAAGCCGCTTCAAATTTGGCATACCGAAACTGACTCAAAACATGAAGAGAGTCATGTTAACCGAGTGACTGATGAGGATATCCAGTCAGTGGTCATCGAACTAGCCTCGCCAAATGTGGCAAACACGTATATAACTTGTCCTGCACAGCTCAACCGCGCACTTGGGATTAAGCTACCGATCCTCGTTCTTATAGTAAAGAATGTCAAGAAGTACTTTACTTTCGAGGTACAAATATTGGATGATAAGGGCATCAAACGACGTTTTCGCGCTTCAAACTTTCAGGTAGAGAACAGTAAAATATTTGAACATCTGCACTGAAAACTTACTAAGTTTGAATGATCTCTCCCTTTCTTTTTCTCCTTCTTCTTCACGAGATAGTCTGTTACAAGAGTCAAACCCTATATTTGCACTATGCCCATGCGTTTAGATGAAGGGTGGAATCAAATTCAGTTCAACTTGGCCGATTATACCCGTAAAGCGTATAGCACTAACTACGTGGAGACTTTGCGAGTGCAGATACATGCCAATTGTAGGTTGCGACGAATATACTTTGCAGATAGAATATATGCAGAAGATGAACTACCGCCAGAGATGAAGCTCTGGTTACCAGTAGACAGACAAGCATCATAATAATAAAAACATAGTTTAAAATTTGAAAGAAACCCTTGTCAATAAAAGTACATCAACTCCCCTTCCCATAAGCAAATATTTAAGATTAATTAATTCTACCATTGCAGAACGTAATTTTCTGTACAATAGAATAAATAATGGGATATGGCCATCATTTAATTGAACAGATAGGTACGGGTCTTAAACCATTTCAACGCGAGTCCCATCATATTATTTCTCCATTTCACATTTCTGGTAAAACTTCTACAGCTAATTTGTTTCTATCACCATTGTAGAGTTACTGTTCAATTTATTGATATCGCGATCTCGACAATGAGATTAGTAAAGAATTAGTTGATTGTGATGCATACAAGATTTCTTTATGCCCAGTTTTTAATTTTTTTCGAGATTGTGCGGAAAGTTTGTCTGACACGCCATTTTATTTTCTCGTGCAATGACCCTTTTGTCCGATAAATGAACAAAAGCTGTAGCCAAAAGAAGGAATTTCTTTAAACAGAATTACAATTCTTTGTGCTGGTAATAGTGGTTTGACCGTGCAAGCAAACAATTTCACCAACGCGAATTGTCGCTACGATGGTTTGCAAACAGCACTTACTCAATGGAGTTGTGATGGTATAATCTTCATTTAGAATAGTCGGTCAACATTAGTCCAGCCGTTGCAAGTTGGTTTAAAACTGACGCGTAACTTGTGTTCGAGTTGACGCAAAACGTCCTTGATCCATTTGATGCCGTGAGTTCATAACTCAAAAATTAACACTTACCTAAAAATTATTGCACCTCCCATTATTATACATATGTATAACTATTCGAGGCGTAGTGCATGCGGATGTTACTTCTTAATTAGTTATAATTGCTGTACCGATCTTGACTTAACTTAGAATCTGTCACCTGAACGGGCTTAAACTCTGTTCTACCAGTGCGCTCGGACCCCTCTTGCTTTTTTCAGCGAAATCAACATAAATATGCTGATTTAGTTTCAATTTTTGTGTGCTTTGGCGATAGTGGAATTTCTTCAATGTTTAAACAAAGTTACATATCAAGAGCGTAAAAGCATATTTTTTCATTGCTGACAGTATTTATTTTTTGATTCCAGAAGTGCTTAATATTAATGATGCTCTAACCCAAATCGCACAATGTCTAAATATCACTCCAATAAGCGACATCTAATCAACGTTATTTACGAAATAAAATTAAAATGTGGCTCATTTCGAATGGGTCCAGACAATGACATCATGGTTTGCATTTGCACAATATGTGGGAAACGGCGCATACAAGAAAATATTTGATTATGGCATTTATGGTCACAGCAATTAGGAATAAAAGCATACACCCGAAAAAACCCTTAACGAAAAGAAAGTGGCAAAGTTGGATAATGATGTATCAATTGTCAGCTACCAAAGTAACACGCTTTAGAAGATTAAATTGCAAATATAGAACCGGATTAAAACTCCCAACACGATGGTTTCCAATGAGGTGTTAAGTGAGCCGTTATACTCCAGAGTGGTCTCTGGAGATGAGTTTTTCTTACATAACACCGAAACTGCTGGGGCGTTAAAGTAATGGGAAACATCGATCCAAAAAAAATAAACCCAAATCTATTTGTATTTCCGCCCGCCTTAGCTCGTCTATTTAAAAATATTAATATGCTATTATTGTATTACTATATTTCACGTGACTTATTTACTAATAACGACTATATTTGTGTAACACCATGAGAGTGTTTGCTCTCTCCTCTTCATCTTGGACCACCCGTTATGCTTAGCCTAAAGCCGAGCGTACTCTTTTCCCTCGACAAAATAGCCAGCAGAGCCATTGCAATAGCTGGGCCAGTATTCATACTTATAGCTGTCGTCTTGATTTCGTTGGCTGTGATAACGTATTATAGCGTTGTATTCCCATATGCATTTGTTTGGGATAAGGACTATATATGGTCGAAAGTCAATTACTATCTTGGGTTGATATGGAGCATTTATTTAACAGTGTGTATTGCGTTTCATTATTACATGTCAATAACGACAAAACCTGGAGGTATTCTGATTGGAGGCACAGGAGATGTAAGCAGGAACAAAACAAGATTACTGACACTTAACATGTTGCCAATACTGCTATAAATTTACTTATTTTACTTTAATGTTTCCTTTAGCCAAATGATGATCCGGTACTTCATGATATCTTCGTAGAACTGGAGGAATATCAAGAATTTCCAAAAACATGTAAAAAATGTCATCTTCCTAAACCGGAGAGAGCTCATCATTGTTCAGTATGCAAACGATGTGTGCTTCGATTTGACCATCATTGCCCGTGGATAGCAAACTGTGTTGGACACTACAATCATAGATACTTTCTCCTATTCATGACTTATCTTACGATCGCTTGCGCCTATTTTACTATTCTTGGATGGCAGCCGTTTTTACTGAGTTTGGAATTCGATTCCGAGGTAAGTGACGATTCGGTGCAGACATGTGATTAACCGAGTAATGACATCATTTAATTCCAAAATGTTATAGTGGGAATGGTGGATGCCCAGACCGTATGTGGCGTTAACGTTCCTACTAGCAGTTTCTATAGGGGTGGCTTTAGGTAAGTAAGCATGGGGCAACTATAATGTATAGAAGACGGATAATAATCTGACCCGTTGGGGTGGTAATGTAAACTTTGTATTAATTTTCAATTTACATGTTTTCGCAGGAGGAATGTGCCTGTGGCATTATTATCTCGTAAGTGAATCTGAGCGTTTGTTCTCTTTTCAAGGTTTATTGTCCAACTCAAAGCGATTGTGTGTAACAGGTGGTCAGTGCGCAAACGACAGTAGAATTCTATAATAACCGATATGCGAAGAGTGAGGCAAAACGGAGGGGAGAGGTAATATAATAAAATTAATTGAGAAAGTATGATACAATGCATAACTGACTCCATTTATCAAACGATCGAACGCAGGCATTTGTCAATCCGTATAGCTTTGGCATTGTTAATAATTTTAAGCAATTCTTTAATGTCGGCTCAAACTAGTAAGTGTCTTCGACAATACGATCAAAAGAATATTGTTGAACGTTTTATTGTTTGGGATATTCCTAACCGAATTTCTTTTTACATTTTGATTAATAGTGATTAGTAAGTATATTTAACAGAACTATGCTGAAAGATCACATACAATAACGTGCTTTTATTCAGCTGCAGTTTACCATCTTTCTAACAAGTCTGATATTTTCTAGCCCCATATACACGATATTTCTTCCAATACCAATACCACCATCGGGTAACGGAAAAGTGTGGCAGAAGAATGCAACTCAGCGTTATTCAACAGTACAAGTTGACGAGTACTCAGAAGATGACGAATAAATAGATTAATTACACTCAAGACTGTACATATATAAACCCTATAGATTGATAGGTAATAATACCAACATAAATCAATAATTGCCATCATCGAACCGCAAAAATAAATCGAATCACTTATGATTCATTATTGACATTTATTAAGGAGTTATGCAGCGAAAAACTTCATTATTTAATAGTTATGTGATTAAGGTATTATCGAGTTTAGAAAGCCTATGATAAAAATATATTCTGATTACAGCGTATTTAATCTGTCCAACTGTTTGACTCGGCACAACAGAACTCTATCTGCTTATTTATCGGCGTTAATATAGCCTTACCCTATCGTTTTTCTTTTATTCTTTTCAACAGTCTCAACTATTGTCCACCTGTTCTCCTCCCTCTCAACAACCTGCCGTTCTTCTTCTCTCGTCGAGGTCAAGACCAACCCCGTCTCCACGCCTCCAAGCTGAATAACTTCTGGCACTTCTAATTCCACATTCTGTTTTTTGCTTCTATATGTTGCCCGTACAAAAGCACCGTATGATTCTGGTGAGAGGTCGTGCGATAGAATATGAAGAGCCTGTTCCGGTAAGAGAGAGTCTATTTCACTCCTCGTGTAGTTTAGGTCGTATAGTCTTTGTCTTTGTGTCGACGTTATCTGAAGTGAATAGAGAAGCGTGAGGCACATGTCGGAAAAACGAACACGGTTATGATAATAGTGAAAAGACTGACCATGAACGGAACAGAGGCCGACGAGGACGAAGTTCTTAGAAAACTAAGTGAGCCTTTGGTAAATCTCGGGTTTATAAGATTGGTATTGCATATTCTGTTAAGAAGGAATGAAGTCATGTTTCTCAACTAAATCGATCAAGTAAAGAGTTGCAAAAGTCGCACGCATAGACAGTCCCACAAAGTTATTGTCTCACAATTCCATTAGGTGACAATAAACCCCCCAATCACATTCTTTACTGAAACTACCCATACACCATGTCCTCTTCCGAACCTACTTCGCGTACTCGTCAAGCATCACAAATCCACCGCTTCCCGATCCTTTCACCATCACGTTACCATGGCCCGCCTACACCTTATGCTCAACCTGTCGAATTGACTTGTTTCTCGTTCGACGGTACTCGTACACTTCATCTTGACGATCGCGAACTCAAGTACTACTATCCACCTGACCTCACATCTTGTGACCTCTCTGAAGGATATGACACTTTTATCCAACGAGACGACTCTACGCCAGATCCGATTGATGCTTTACTTGATGCATTAGTTGATTATGAAAAGGTGGTTGGAGACAAAGTTGCAAGAAAGGCGAATTTTGTGACCTGGAGGGGAATAATCACAAAAATTCTCTGCACGCCTTATAATAGGAATGAGCCATGGGTACTAGGCGCAACTTTGTGGAATGTAAGTGAAGAGAAAAGAGAAAAGGGTTTGAATTGACGCAATGTCTACAATTACCAAACGGGATTCAATTATAGAAAATTGAGGTTCGTTTAGTCTAATTTATAAACTTTTCTTTCTTTTGGTGTGGGGGGTTTTTTGGGGGGTGGTTGACGTTGAGCAGAACACAATGTGAGTAAATATAAATTAATATATCGAATACTCATCTTTAATGATAATAACCTAACGTATTCAATTAATTCCGTAACCTTAGATACATGAACGAACATCTTACTTCGCGAAGAAAAGCAGAAATAGATAATGCAACACCCCGTCATAAACTCATGACATATTGGGGTTACAAATTCGAGAATCTCTGCACAGTTTCCGTGCAGCCATCAGAAATTACGTCATCTGATCACCCTGAACTTCTCTCACGAAAGTCAAGCGTAGTAAATAACAATGTCCAGTATTGCTCTGTGGCAAAAGCTGCTTTGGGAAAAAATAAAATAATTATAGGCGCAGAAGTTGATTGTTTAAGTGATGTGAAGCCTGAAAAGGGTGGGAATCCGATTGACAAATATATTGAATTGAAGACTTCGAAAGTTATGACAAGGGATAAAGACAAGATTAACTTTGAAAAGTAAGGCAACTGATATTCTTAATAACCCATTAAATATTTTATGGCTATTATATATTAAATTCTGTCTTCCAATTTGTAGATATAAGCTCATTAAATACTGGACCCAATCGTTTCTGATCGGTATTCCACGAATAATAGTTGGATTCCGAGACGACAATGGATTCGTAAAGCATTTGAAAGAATATAAAACGTTAGAGATCCCGCGTATGGTCAGAGGAAAGCGGAACATGTGGGTGAGTACTGTTGCAAGACGTCTTACGATGCGATTTAAATTATTGAAAGACGCTGATTTTATACATTTATTTAAGGATGCAAACGTTTGTTTGAATTTTGCAAACAACTTTTTATCATGGCTGAGGACTGTTATAGTAGAAGATGATCCGAGAGCTAGCTATTTGATACGGTTTAAGGAGCCATTTAGGGAAATAGAAGTAATTTTTATGGGTTGTAATGGAACAGCAGCGGTAAATGAGAGGTTTTTAGGAGTGCTATGAGATGCTTGAACCTAAGATTGGTATGGAATATAAACAACAGTACCGTCTCGTCTATATACCGTACAGGCGTTTGGTGTTATAATTTATGAGTATTAGTTTGGCTCCATCAGCTAGGCAGCAGAACTTGTGAATATTTATAGATGCGTCTTCTTCAAATAATAACTTCTACGATCATGATTTTAATAGCATGCCATTCTTGAACGTGGGATGCTTTTTTCTTGTAGCAGAATTTGGTCTTGAGGTTTATCACTGATACATATACTTCATTCGCGTACGTGTAATTAAACGTTTAGACAATGTTTAATTTCGTTTTCTGACAAAGAGGACTATGGCGATTTTAGTAATAAATCGTTCTCTTATCAGCTGACCAGTTGTACCTTGCCGTTAAGAATCCGGAAATTTCAACGAACAAGGTTTTCGATAATTAAGATGATTTCATTGCGTATTAAAATAAGTCTAGTTCGGATTTGAGCGCTTCACGTAACCTGGTAATAATGATTGAAATTAAAACTTGGGATATTTGATGATCATAATCTAGTCAAAGTTTGTATTGGTAGGATATTTTTTAACCTTGGACCAATTTCTTCTGACAGACAATAGTAAGCTTATATAGAACACTGACATTTTGGCAAGATGATTTTTAATATATAAGCTCTTTATACGGTCAGACTCTAAAGATTTAATGATAGTGCAACTGATTTATAAAAGTTCCACATTATTAACAATTGACACCCCCTTTGTTTTAGAACAAAAAATGTCTTTCCAACATATCATTAACTTTTTACCAGTACACTTGCCATTAAGCTGTATGGTTTAGTGCACAGATCGGCGGGTCGCTAAAGCTGTTCGTGTTAAGCATTATTATTATGAACAACACAATAATAATTTTTTTACTTAACTACTACTACAGGTTTTGGGGACAAAACTCTGCAAATGCGCAATTATTTACGAGAATCTTTTACAAACAATATCACTGAGCTTAGCAATACTAATGCTATGACCATAATAACATTACAGTATTACTCGGAAAAATGGTTTGCTACTCTCACGACACATTTTAAATTCACATAGGTTGAAGATAAGAATTTGGAATGATGCAAAAATGTTATATGCACCTGAACTTGGAATTGCTATTTGTTTCCCTCTTGTAAAGCGATGAGGGCAATTCTGGAATTTGGTACGTAGAAATAAGAATTTAATTAATTATAATTGTTGGTAATAAAATCTATTACATGAAATTCGATCATGGGAACTAATATGATTAAGTTTTTTGGATTTAGACCATTGCCAAAAATACAGTGCCGGTATGGATAATACATTATAAAAAAATTGTTGTTAAAAAAGGACAACGTTCTATACCGAAAAGAAGACAAATTCAAATAACAATAAAAAATACAAAACATTTCCCCAAAGGTAAATTTTGTCATTGGTGTACATTTAAAAATAATTCATCAAACTTGGCCCCGACAGATTCGATCTCATTCACGAGATTGTCCAAATGGCATTTCTGAACCGACGGTGAATTAATTACCACTCTGAAAATTGCTGGCAATTCTTTTCCGGCTAATTTCAATGGCGCATAGTCAAACAAAAACATTCCTTTCTTGCAAATCTCGTTATGTACTGCCTTTGTGACGTTATCCAAAACATTTCTATACACATCGTAATTATTTTCACAAAGTTCAATGGGCGAGTACCAGAAACACACTTGTAAACAAGCTGGCTCCATTAACAGTTTGAATTTACTCTTTGCTTTAATTAAAGCAGAAAGATACTTTGCCATATTAAAGGCATGTTCAATTCGTCGTTCGTATCCAGTAATCCCATAGTACTTCCATCCCAAGAATAATTTTACTGCATCCGGTCGTCTACCACATCCAACAGTACCGTCGCCCAAGTCGTAATCGTGGCCGTGGAACAAGTATCCTGCTCGGAGACTGTTGGATCTGGCAAGCGTACGGTAATCCCGCATGAGCAAAAATGAGCATTGGAGAGGCGTGCCGAGCATTTTATGTGGATTCAAAGTGAATGAATCCGCCTGAATTAATGGTACATTGATGTTAAAACAATTGTTTTCTTGACTATAACAATTAGCGTGAGCATTATACATTTAGTTGATAATTTTCTTCTAATAGTACTGTTATCATTTTTTTCACTCTCACGAATTATTTCATAGTTTACTGTAATTACCATTTCAGACCCGTCCAACAATGGTAATCTCTTCTCAGAGAATATAACGCTTCCTCCCCAAGACCCGTCGATGTGATACCACATGTTATATTTCTTTGCTATTCTGCCAATGGCTTGTAGAGGATCGAATGCTCCCTAAGTATTGAAACATATTGTCTCTATGAGTATCTGAACACACAGATAATATGCTTACAAGTGTATTTATGCTCAACACACAAGAACTGTAGTGCCTGCCGTAGCATTGACAAAGAAAGGAGTGTTGCCAGAATTTATTGATTGATTAATCATTCGTTCTAACCAAGAAATAAATACGACTTTTGAGATATATTTCATACATTCTTATCTCCCAAGGCAGTCATAATTAATTGACATACCTAAATCGCCTGGCGACATTCTTCCATTGTTGTCACAAGGTACTTTAATTATGTTATCGGTACCTATACCGAGAGTCATGGCTGTCTTGTCAACTGAATAGTGACCATTTTCTGAGGTGAATACAACCAAATTATTTTTAAAAGAGCTGTATCCTTGTGTTTTGATTTCTGGAAACATAGTGTTTCGTGCCGTAATCATTGCCAGTTGATTAGAAAATGCTCCTCCCGGACATGTAACGCCACCACTTGTCTATAGGAAATGACAATTATTGCCAAGTTAATTAATAAAACTTGTTTAATAGTTGAATACAAGTTTATCATTTCTACCTCTCCCATTTTTAACATTCTACCAATACGCGCAGCAATAATGCGTTCAATTAGAGTAAATGCGGGAGACACGCGATACACGTGTGCATTCGCGTTGAGTATAGTAATCAGCATTTCCGATATAATTCCCACGGGATTGGTTCCCGCGTAGAGTTTGTCCATGAAGCAGGGATTCCAAGTATTAACGCTATATTGCATAATAGATTTTACCAACAAAATAATACCTGAAAAAATGGGACAAACCGTCATAATCAGGTAGAAAATGGCGGTCAATGATCAGAAATAATATTAAGTATTACCATCATTGCCAATCCCTACTTCTTTCAGATCAAAATCTATTATATTCTCCAACTCGTCTGGTGTTTTAAAGTCCACCACTCGAGCATTTTCTCGTTGGCTGTCGTTAACGTCTAATATTGATATTAGCGTGTAGTAATTAAGTTGATTAGGTTAACGCGACATTATAATAGTGATGGGCGCGCGTCTTACATTCGACAATAATCTGCTTCATCTGGGAGATTAGTTCGTCAAGATCACGTGCATCAGCGGATAGATCGGAATGTGTTTGGCGGTCCATTATATGATATCAACAGGACGTGGACGGTTTATTTTATTTCTGTATCCAATTTCAACAATTTTTTTTTAAAAAAAAAGACTAACTAAATGCGCAGACGCGAAATCAATCGCGAGCTGCACTCATATTTATAATACAATTGACTGTTTGTACAACGAAGCGACAATCGACTGCGCAAGGATTATCAAGGTGCCGAAATTTATCCGATTCGCCGTAAACCCATTTTTGGTAAGCAATACAATCAAAGCTACTGCTGATTAGATTGAAGGGCAATTGATTTTCCATATGATAATAAAATGTTAGATGAAATAGGTTCGACCACCTCTTCGAGTCCTAACATCATTTCCGTTATTTGAATAGTATGTCCTTATTAAAGCAACACGACCGTGCCTTCGATGCAAATATGGAAATGCACTAATTGATTATATCATAATTAACACTGGGCAGAGTTTCCTCGATTGAGGGGTTGAGAGTAATAGCGCATTGGCAAACCTTGTTTCCATATCCAGATCATCACTCGTATCACTTCCTCGAGAGCATATAATACGCAGAAATAAAACGAAACTAGTCTTTTAAAATAATAACATGAATACTTGTGCCGAAATATTAGAAGAACAAGAGCCCATTTAATAGACACTTACCAAGATAAAACATCTCAATGCGATATGCCAACCCCAGTATTGTGCATGTGCAAGGCAAAGTGTAAAGTTGAAAAAAATCGCTTGATAAATTGGGATGATCAGTATCCGTTGTAAATTATATGATTATGAAATCGATACTTTTTGGGCATACTTGCGGTCGTCATCCAGGTATTGCACTTTAATAGTTTCGCAAGCATCCTGGCAGCCACAGAAACTGCTACAAGCATTCCATAGATTACTCCATAACTAGAAGTGTTTTCTGCAAAAATAAATAATTGATTAGTATTCGCATTCTAATTCGGACGTTGCTATTTTTCAGTTTTTGCTACACTTACCATACCAATTAGCAACGCTCCATAAAGGCTTGATGAACTTCATCAAATCGACATAACTGTGCTTTGCTTCTCGTACTGCTTCGGTAAGGTCGTGAATCTCAGTATGAGACGCACGTATCAAAGAAGTATATTCACTTTGGATTGAACTTAATGTCTTTCTATATTCTAACACAAAGTTGTCATAATACGCCTGTCCGAAGAGGAAGATAAGCGGTGGTATTTAAATGTCAAGAGACGGTTCAGTAAAAAATGAAATGCTGACCAGAAACTTGTCAATGTTAGAGTTTAATTGCAATTGACGTTCAAGCGAGAATTTTGTTGCTTTTGACATGTCGGCGAGAATCTAGAAAACAAAATTAGAGTCTGTCAATGTTGCGGGATAAAATGATAATACTGTAGATGCAAAACAGTTACCGAGTATGTTTCTTCGACGCCTTTATGATGAATTTCGAACTGGGATGCCATAAATGCCTATTTTTTTGAAAAAACGTCTATTAATGTACCGTAAATTGCTTGTATAAAGTATTAGTATTGGACATACCATATATTCTCTCATCTTTGATTCATAGTTGTCTGTTAATTGGTTGATATGTTCGTATGCATTTTGTACATGAGATTGAAAATACGCGATACCCTATGAAATATGATCATGTGTTAACTATTTATACATTTAGTCTTGCGCATGAAAGAAAAAACAGACCGAGGAAAGCCTAGTTATCTGACTTTTAATGTCTCCAAAATACTGTTCACTTTTCTGGATACCAAGTTCTTGTACTTTCGAAAACTCTTCATCAACTTTCCGCATGCTGCCCATTAGGGTATCCACGACCTGAACCAAGTATTGAGTTGTCTTGAATGCAATAACCAGAATATTTAATGATTGATGGAAATACCTTTGTCAATAATGTCAATTTTCCTTGCATGTTGAGTATACTTTGGTTCGTATTGTCCTCGATATTATGAAAATTTTCTGCTATTTCCGTTTGACTTTTTAATGTATCAGACGCTAACGCCACCGAAGCGGCTAATTTCGAATAAAGTCCCATCACAGTCTCCGACATACTAATTGTTGTATTCTTCAAAAAACGCGAAAACATCAGTAGCGCGCGCACAATTATACAAGCTAGAAATTAGGTTCAGTTTTTTACCTCGATCTTTGAGAATTTAGCAGATATCTGGTCTTGGAAAGCTTCCATATTTTCGAGTTTATGCATCTCCTCTTTGCGCCAATTAATAAATTCCTGTAGTTGTGAACGTATCATATTGTACGTTTTTAACTGTGATATGGTAATATTTTTATGAAGTTGCAGGAGAAGCTCTTGATGAGAAATAAAATTCAGAGGCAATGAGTTACAAAAATTATAATTTATTTGCCACTCGAACAGAGAACTTGATGCTAACCTCGCTCCATGGGAAATCGAACAGCGAAACACATCATAACTCAAAACACGAACGTTGTAAAGGTTAATACTTTTTATTTGTCTAAAAGAGGTTAACTAGCCAACAACACTCACAAACTTGTCGAAAGTATCCCGAATAGGAAGTCCACAGTTGCGCATTGTCCTGGAGAGCACTAAAAGGATATCAGCTGGCCGCTTTAGAATGAAAGCCTAAAAATCATATCCCTTACCTAATACAATCAGTAACCGTATTGTCGTCTTCACACTCTATTGGATGTTTACGCTTGGAAATCGAAATATCACACATAGTTAGCCTTATTGCAACTACAATAACATGTATGTTAGTAAATTTATTTGGGAAAGCGAAAAATGAAATTTTCGGTATTAGTTGTAACTACATCGCATTTGATCTTCAACGGGAATGTTTGGTTCTTTACATCCGTGTCGTAGAGAGTCGGCGGCGGATTTAAAGCATGCCTCGGGACTTTGTTCATATTGTTTTAGTGAACCTAAACACAAATTTGACAGTCAAGCCCGTTTATTTTATCAATGTTAAATATTTCAGTTTTGTGTTAACTAATAAACATACTAAGTCCGAGTTCAACAACACTTCGTTCTTCGGCCGATAATTCTGACAGGCCTTCCACCCAAGCTTTTCGTAAAACTTGGTTGTTAACTTAAAATAAAAAGTTAAAAATTTTTTATTGTATATTTTCAAACACTAACATAAATCTGATTCTTCTTCGAGTTGGCCGAGATTGTTATTTGCAAATATAGAGCCCAGCATAGCCCAATGGCATAATGATGGACCGATAAGAAAAAGTAAGACGATTAATGAAAGCGTTAGCTTGTTTGAATAAAACATTGTAAGTGAGCGTTAGTAAAAATAAAAAGAGAACGACGTCGTGGCTATTTAATGATGGCAATTATATTAATATATCGCAAATTGCGGTTATGCGGGATAAGTTTATTATTTATTCCGCTTGCAATTATGCAGCAAGTTTGATGTGTATTAATATACGTAAGTCAATTGGAAAATCTATGAAAATATTTATATTAAACTCTTTTTTATTTCTACTACTACGCTATTATGAACATCTCTAAAGTCTCAACGCGTAGATATCTCTCTTATGCAAAAAACATTTGTAAAAGCATTACTTTAAATGTCAATGTAAATATGTTAAAGTTTGATTCAAACCATAATAGCATAGCTGTCGTCGAGTATTTTTATCAAGTAATTATACAAACATGGCAAGATCATCTGGGTTCGAGTCTGATGGTCGGTACTATTCCCTATTTTTGTACCTGTGAATGATAATTGGAAAATTGTTTTACGGGTCTTATTCAGTCGCAAATAAAGACGCAAAATTTGTTGCAAATTAAAAAGGGTTTAACGTTATCACGGTTTATTTAATCTTATAAAACGAGTTTATTAATACATGTTTTATTTTACACTATTACGAGTCAACGTGTGTACAATTTCGTAACCAACCCAGTTAGTTACAATATGTTTACTTTATTTAAAAACTTGGTTTTTGTGGTTTTTTGAATTAGTTATGTTTATTTGTTTGTTTAAGATGAAAAATTTTTTCTTATGAGAACTTGGTCGACTTAACCTTTGGGAACGCGACGGGAATCTGCATGGGCATAATCTGCAGAGTGAAGTAATGTCCGCTATATATAGTTATCTTCGTAAACTTAAAGTTAAGCCCACTTTGACTGATTTGTCAACTGTTATCATCATCCAATCAAAACTCTTGTGATATATGATTATCGTGATAGATTAGTAATTATCATATTAATAATTATTATCACCGCCAAAAAGTCCTTAGTCATCATCACAATGCTAACCTCAGATGATGTCATTAGAATGGTGCTATAAATATTACATGACCTGCCGATGGATAGCACATGTACGGGCCAGTTGCATCAAAAATATTTAACAGTTCATTTACGGCATTCACAAGAAATCAAAGATCACTACTCTTGAGTAAATATTGGATAAGACGAACCATGTCAAGGTATGGATTCGAATTCTGTTGTCTGATTTATACATATATCCCATCAACCCAATTATGTTTCTTATAGTACCAACCAAGAATCTCTCCCGACAATTTACAAATGGGCATCAACGGATGGCGAATTCAGGAGAGCACCAACTAGCTTCCGTAACGTTATTGAAAGAAATGCCGATTCAGGAGCTCAATTTGTAGCAGAGAAGTAAATACGACACAATGTTTTACATCAAAAAGATAGGAATCGAGTATGAAATTCATATTTAATTGCTTCATTAGGGATAGATATCATCTGTATATCAGCTGGGCTTGTCCATGGGTATGTCATTGTAATTGGTCAATCATCCCGTTAAACACGCATATACATTAAACATTAATACGTGAATTTCATCTATTTTTCCTTCATGTCATTATTACCAAAACCTTCAAATTCTCACAGGCTCATAGAACAGTAATTGTCCGCGCCCTCAAGGGCTTGGAGGATGTAATTGGTCTCAGTGTAGTAGATCATCACTTGGGACCAAAAGGGTGGAAGTTTTCCACTCCCGAGGAATGTCCGGGTGCTATCCCGGATACAGTTAACAACAAGGCGTATATTTCAGAGCTTTATTACATGGCTAGTCCCGAATATAAAGGACGGTTCACGGTACCTGTACTATGGGACAAGAAACTTGGAACTATTGGTAAGTTGTAGATACAGACAAGGTTAAACTGTCACGTTTATTGACTTGTACTAAGAACAGTCGACGGTTTGGATCATCAGTGAATAATGAATCATCCGAGATCATTCGCATGTTCAACGCGACTTTCGACGACTTTGTACCCGAACACGCGAAAAACTTGACTTTTTATCCAAAACACCTAAAATCTGAAATTGATAATATCAATGAGTGGGTTTACGATACGGTGAATAACGGCGTATACAAATCTGGATTTGCTACTACTCAAGAAGCGTGTAAGTTTACGTAATATCTAATCGCATGACCTTTCACCCAGACGCTGACTTTGACACTTATTATCAGACGAGAAGAACGTAGTACCGTTGTTCGAATCTTTAGATAGATTGGAAAAGATACTTTCGGAGCATGATTTCTTAGTTGGGGATACTTTCACCGAAGCAGACATTAGACTCTGGACTACTATCGTCAGGTGATTGTTAAGGATCATTGTGTATTCAAGAATTTACGCACAAATTGACATTTGAATTGCGTTCTCTCGACAGATTCGACCCTGTATATCATGGGCACTTCAAGTGTAACGCGAAATCGATTGAAAAAGACTATCCTAATATTCTCAGATGGGCCAGGCGTATCTATCAAATGCCAAAGGGTATGTTTCTTCTTGCTAACGTATACTGATCAGAGAGTAGCTCTAAAATGTCTCGTTTTACAAATAGTTGCACAGACTGTGAACATGCACCATATTAAGTACCATTACTACGGAAGCCATAAAAACATTAACCCCACGGGTATCGTTCCTATCGGTAACGGGCCAGGTAAAAACCTCGACATTGGGTGTTGCCAATCGTAGTTTCGCTCAATACGACTGACTTTTTTTTTTTGTTTCAATTCAGATCTCTCCATACTTTAATCATGTCGTGACACATTGCGGAACTTGCAAAAAAAAAAAGAAAAGATGCGATTGCGGCTGTTGCCACTCCAGTCATGTTTTTAATCATTAATTAAATAAACGTTTTTCCGCTTCATTGTCTTTGAAATTCTCTCTTGCAACTATCGCAAAATTAATCTCGTCACTTGAACCAATCGTCCTAACTCGCTCTCATTGTGGCGGATAAGTTAATTTCTCTGCAGGATAAGCAGGCCCGACTAATTGGATGCTTTTACGTGCCAACCAATGTCCAGCAGCAATTGATTCATCAATAGTCTTGCCCTGCACGTATTGACTCAAAAATCCACCAACGAACGCATCACCAGCACCATTTGTATCGACAATGTCTTTTTTATCGATTAGAGTGATTGGGTATTCGTTTACGGTACCATTTGAATAGGCCACAAACGTGGGGTTCTCTCCCTGTGTGATGATGACTATGCGTTCACGTTTGGAATTGACTTTTGGAAGCTTGCTGATCTGCAGTGCGATTTGTTTTATATCTTTGGTCTTTTTTTTTTCCCAAAACAAGAGGAGCAGAAGTTAGGACTTGTTTGAGGGGATAAAGGAAAAGATAAATGGGTCACTGATACTTACATCCCAATTATGGTTTGTTGCATATGCCTCGGCTTCAGTTTCATTTCCAAATAGAATGTCACAGTACGGTAGCACAGAATCCAACTGATCTTTGAAGAACTGACATAAGAACGCAGCCGACAGATTTAAGGCGAATGGCTGTCATGTGCGCAATGAACTGGGAGTGTCAGGCGTGCATTTCGGCAGTCCGATATGGGATCAATCTCATTTACAACATTTTTTTACCTTATTACGTTCTGCAGCATGTTTCGCAACTTCCAAGATAGATTCTACAGAAACCGTCAGGAAGAAACCTCCAATATAAAAGTAGTCTGCGTTCTCAACCCAGGACCATTTCTCTCGAGTCTTGATATCAGACACGTGGTACTTCTCTGCCGCAGAAAGGTTGGCCACAAGTGACCTAATTGTTTGGTGCATGAATTACAATTTCAAATTAGGTAAAAATATATAATGCAATTACTTACCTGTTATGTCCAGTGATAATGGCTGCACAGGTTCCCGTCGGAACATCATTAACAACCATGTATTCAACCTTCAATCCGTCTTTTTCAGCGGCTTGACGCAGTTTGACAGCAAACTGGTCGTTACCTACACATCCAACATAGACTGTTGACCGTGGTGGCAATAAGTACTAACATTGTACGAAAATTTTGAATTTGTAAGCAATCCAATTACATTCGTTGCTGTTTACTCAGATAGTTACTTACCTGTGCTCCACGGGCTGCGTTCTGTGCTGCGCCGCCGGCAACATATACGGGATTATAATCGGTGACTAACTCTTCAAACCTTAATAAGGTGAGAAAAATATGCTGATGTTAGCAATCACAAAGTATAGTTAAAGAACGAAAAAATAGTATAAACGTATATGTCCGCAAAGATTGTAGTGGATTAAATTATCGACAAAGTAAAAATAATAGAAAGGGAATACTTGCAATGGTTTGTGCCTTTCTTCTGCCAAGATGGATGCATTAGCTTCCAGACCGTATCTGCAAAAAGTTTTCAGAAAGACTCTTATTAAAAATGCTTTCGTAATAACTCTGGTCTCGCTACTTATTCATTACCCACTTTTGCAGCAAAGACTCATCACCATTAACTTGTATATCCAAAAGAGGATTTCCCATGCAGAACAGCTTATACTCGCCCATGTTGAATATATTTTTTGAAAAAAAGAAAGAAAATCTCAAAACCTGAAAATTTATTTCGCATTTGATTCATTACAAATCGAGCAATTTCGCCCGAAACACAGGTTACAATAGGAAGTTACACACCTGCGCAAAAATCCTGCGGGCGACCAACTGGTGACATTTGCAAATCCTTATTTAAAAGGGGCATTACAGACCAAACCCCCTCTACAAAAGATCCCGCCCACTCAATAACAACTCTTGTAGAATATTTTCATCCAAAGACATTATTTAGCTTATTTTCTTTGTACAATACATATATATACAATGGCACTTAAGAGAATTCAAAGGGTATGTACAGATTGTATGATTTCTGATCAGTTGAGGGCTCATCGCTAACGATGCCTGCATCCAACACACACCTTCATCTAAAACACACACAGGAACTCGTTGAACTCAGTAAGAGCCCGCCAGTTGGTATAAGTGCTGGCCCTATTGAAGACGACATGTTCCACTGGCAAGGTAAGTTTATCTATACTTTCAGTATTATTGGATAGTCGTTTCGTACAGTTTCCATCGTTAACGTTTTGGTGCCTTCATTTTAGGAACGATTATGGGACCCGTAAGTGCCGAACTTGTCACCAAAATCGGAAAGATTGTTCGTTGCGATATAACTTGACTGAACGTTGTTTTCTTCATCTAGGCAAATAGTCCGTATAAAGGAGGCATATTTCGGGTCAGGATCGAGTTTCCTCAAGACTATCCGTTCAAACCGCCAAACGTAAGTATCATAGTATTGAATGTTATGTCACGCGTCATAAGCTAATGCTTATTACTTTGCTTGCAGCTAAAGTTTACTACACGAATTTATCACCCAAATATCGATGACGACGGAGGTGTTTGTGTGAATTTATTGAAGAGCGATGTTTGGAAACCGGCAACAAAGGTTTCTCATGGTGAGTAGAAAAAGAGAGAAAAGAAAACGTAATGATGTATGATCAATTTATAGATCGGTGATGTAATATTATTATCAAAATGAATATCTCTAAATATAGTACTCGAGGCTATTGCCAGTTTGCTGGAGAATCCAAATCCTGATGATGCTTTAATGGCATCGGTAGCAGAAGTGTATAATACAAATAAGACAAAGTTCATCAAGACTGCCAAAGAATATGTAAAGAAGGTAAGCTTCTAGTTCCATATGTCAATATTCCAATGTCTTGGCGTCCAATAACTTGATTTTACGTAACACTCTCAGTACGCATTGGCGTGACATTATACGATGGTCTGATCCAAAAATCTAAAGGGAACTTCTCAGTAATACTTACAAATAGATGCATGTTGTGTAATTGACATTGGGATGGGGAAAAGGACACTGTTACTTGTATAGATGCAAGTGGTTTCACTAATAAATTTACTTATATATTACGAACTATATTCAGCAATCATGGACCCTTCACTTTTTCAACATTTCTCCCCGACCCCCTTTATTTTTAATAACATACCAAAATTTCATGAAGTTTAATACAGATCACTCCCTGCCCATTATTTTTGCTTTCGAAAGCAGCCGACTTCAATGATTGAAATCAAAAAATCGTGTTTAATTTAATATGCCATTAATATTGTTTTGAATGCATTACAATAAATATCATCAATATCTATATAGAAGGTGGAAAGAAGATTTCTTTCAAATTTCCCCAGAATCCCTTGTCATATATGTTCTGGACTTCTTTAAGACTTTGAACTTGCGTTCCATCATAATCATTCTTCCCCCTTGGGCCACCCAACCTTCGCTTCCGTTCTTCTGCTGTTTCATTCCAATAAAGCTTTATTGTCTTTGGTATATTAGGGTTTTTGCTTAGTTTGGCATCATCTACATCGAACGCCTTCTCGTGCACGTAAAGCTCTCCCATTTGGATTATTTCATCAAGGTCCTCCCACTTGAATGCTTCATTTGCTGTCATGCCACTTTTGATCAAACTCAATTGATAACCTAGGAAAGCAAGAATCACGAAACCAACCAAGAATGCGAAAATGCCTAACGCACCCAAGAGTCTGTATTGGTGGATTAAATACTGTAACATTGGAGTCATAAATGTTATTAAGCATTATCGTAAGCGAGTGGGTTTGAATATTAACGGTTGATTTGCTTACCAACACGGCTTGATAAGTTGTTATTGGCACTTTTTTGCCTGTTTGAATGTTAGACACATAAGCGGACATCAAGTTCATCTGCTTTGCAATACCCATAAATGCGTAGAAAATCAGGTATGTTCCATAGAAACATATTTGAATTGTCGCGTAAAGAAATAGTAGAAAGTACCGATAATTCTTTAAACCAACACAATTATTAATCCATGCGCCTATATAAGGGTTACGCGAGTTAACATATAGTAACGATATTATTCGGAAAGGACTTGAAATTACTAAATATTGACATACAATGGTGATCGCATTTTGCAACGCAAACGTTGCAGAGCGAACAATGCTTGGAGCGAGCAGGTCTACAAAAAATAATAAAGGCGTTAGAACAATGCCAACAACGATGTCTATGATGCTGATGCTTATTCATACTTTTGTATTAGACAAGTTCTACATTTTTTGGGTTCGAACAGCACAAAATCATACGGAAATGCCTTGCAAGCCTTTACCGCGTTCTCTTGCGTGACTCTTCCTGGGTCGCTCCGAGTTGCAATGAACATCGTCGCATATGTAAATACGATTACAAGGTTCGAAGTGTACCTAAACAATAAAATTGTCAACTGTCAGTAAATTATGCATTACCAAACAATGTATGCTATGGTTAATTGCAAATGACGTTGCAATTGAATAGTTTGATTAATTAATTAACTAGCGATTTCATAGCATTCACTCTCGGACGTGTACTTACAAGTGAATCCTAGAAAGATATGGTCCGGGTATATGCGGCCATACAGACACATAAAATGCATAGACAGCACCAGTTATTAGAAAAAGATACACCATCTTATTAAAAGATACGGTAAGTATTGCATAACGTGAATTCAGTAATGATAGTCAGACTGTTTGTTCCCAAAGACATGCAGCAATGTCGGGTCTCTATAATAAGCTTAGCGTAAATTGACATTTCCGAAATCACACCTTCACACACCTGTAATACGGGGTTTTTCTCTTCCATAAAGTATCGATATACACCATCAAATTTACCAGACAAACGAGTGCCACATATACGCCTATTTACACTCCTATAATCCCAGAATACAGACATATTAGTAAAGAAATTACACACTCTTTAGTATCGAGAAAACCAAGAGTTCACATACGCTATTCCGTTTATTAAAGTGACTGTCAGGAAGCGATGTATCATGCCAATCGGCCCATTTCTGTGAACAAAGAACACATCAGTGACGACAGGATCAATGTGACGGCGAATGAATACACAAGTCCAAACCTGAATTTCTGCGAAGGACCCATCAAAAGTACAAACACAATAAAACTAAATAGGACAAAATATGCCGCCATAGCAATAAAGGGATCCTGCAAACGTATGTAGTCATTACGCACAATATTAGACACTTTTCGTAATTCGGAGACTTTCCATCGTTTTACTTGAGACTTACCATCTTGAAGTTAGCGAGATTTGTCGATAGCCTCACTAAATTTTAGTTTAGTCTGAAAATCTTCCGTGCCAAGGGGTAAGCCGTTTCAGTCAAAGTTAAGGATAAAGAGCTTTTTTTCTTCGTCCACGTTGTAGGTAAATATTAAGCAGGATTGCTTTAGGTTTATAGGTTGTGGGAAAACTCAACACTAAGATACAAATCAACTCTACTACTATTTTGGTGAAGCAAATGCGCGATTGGTCATTTTTTAATATAAAATAAAAACAGTTACACTAACTCGAACGGTCAAAAAAATAACCTTTTCTCATGGAATGCTGCAAGACTTGCAATTTCAGTTGTTGTTTATGAGAGGACAAATACCGTGGTAATAGAAAACACGTCTTGTGCGAATCTTATAATATATTAATGCTCAATTTCTATTTTCGTTAAAGCCCATTTCAACAAATAAAAAAGATGTTACAGGAAGCTTGTAATGAGAAACGAGTATCGTTCGCAACGTAACATTCTCCTTTTCAGCGAGGGATAACACGTTGACGATACTTTGTCGCAACAGGTTGAGAACAAGACTATTCACAAGAAAAGGCGTCTTAACAAGAAAATAAAAGACGTAGCATAAGTCTAGTAAACTAGTGTATTTTTCAAGTCTCGTTCACGGAAAACTTTTTTACTCAAGACCCCATTGATCTTTATAATAGTTTATCATCACAAAATGTGTTTGCCGGTATAAAATCAACGGTTCAACATGGTTTTGACAATTACGACTGCTCACCGATTTTATCACTTTCGATTGTAATAGCCAATCTGTCACCACTTTCGAAAGAGATTATTTACCAAATTTGTCAATTTATACTCGATGAGAATGCCGGTTGTGATTGTGAATCAGGTCTTCAAAACGCGCTTAATTACTTTAAATGATGTGTTGTTCAATTATTGCGCTGTGGTTGACTTAGGGCTGTTTTTATCCGTTTGTTTATCAAATGCTGCTCATCATACAGTATACAGGAAAAAGGCCTAAAAGTTTCCAATAATACATCATTGATTAAGCGGGTGTTGGAGATTTATGACAAACCGTCAATGAAGAGAATGGTAGAGGTAACAACAAAGACGTTGTGACTTGGGTGTTGGGGATGATATTACTATTACTGGGGGAGTTAACCAAAGGTGTTAATATTGTCGTGGATAACGTCTACGTATTCCTCCGAGATTTCCGCTCAGTTACACGAATCTCCTATTCTGCGGCCAACGATCGACAAGTCCTGCGGCATAGATCTCCAATGTAACACTAGTCCAATCACATACGAGAGCAAAATATTCGACCCATATCGGGCCATCTTGTACGTAGCAAAAAATACGGACTACAGACGTTGGTAAAATTAGAACATTTGTAATTAGTGGTACTTTCCCAATATGTAGCGAAAATGTTGGCATTTAGGTTAGACAAGAACAGTTATTTAAGCGCGCCGTTTTCCTTCATCATTCATCATCTTCAGCTAAGATTGTCCACGGATACTTTTATTTCTTTTATTCCTTTGTCATTCAAATATACAAACGGTCCTTAGAATAGTTCTTTATATTCTAATAAAACTCTGACTGGTGATTTTAAATCATTCGTGTGGTCAGTTAAAATCCTGTGGTTCTATTGAATTCATCGATCCTGAGAGTAGTGAAAACCGCTATCCGGACTCTCAGTTGCGACTTAGTCTTGCTCCTAGGTTCGCATAACTATCGGTTTTGCAGGATATTTATTTAATTGTCTATAAACGCGTTAGTTAGAAACCTTTCCCAAACGATAGATTTCCGACTTAATCCCATCGGATCATAATCGTCGATAATTTACTCGAGGTTAAATAGATACGTGTCAACGGATTAGCGTATACGATACGATTCCTTCGTAAGTATTCAAAGCCTGTCAAAAGGTCATTAACTGTTTAGAAGAATTAGCATTAGTAGGCGTTGCCGATAACAGCCGTTGGAAGACGCTAAATTTCAAGGAGGTTACACGATCGCTCTCCCACGTGTAACATCACGACAACATGTAACATTTCTGCCTAATTTTGAAAACGTGCCCGGTTGTTTGGAATTAAAAAATACAGGCATATTCGAAATTAGGCGAAAATGTGTCGTTTAAGATTAAAAAACATTAACGTAATCTCAACATATGTAAAATTTTAACCAGGAACGGTTTCAAATTAAACAAAATGTGTCGTTTTGAATTACAAAATACTAATAAAATTTATGAAACGCTACATATACAGTATGGTTAAAAATGTGTTATTTGGCCAACGCCATATTTAAGATAAAATGTATGAACATTACAGTATGGTTGAAATGTGTTGTTTGAATTAAGCCATTTTTAAAATGAAATCTATGAAACACTACAGTATGGTTGAAATGTGTTATTTGAACTATGCCATTTTAAAGATGAAATCTATGAAACACTACAGTATGGTTGAACTGTGCTATTTGAACTGTGCCATTTCTAAGATTAATAAAATCCATGAAAACATTGCAGTATGGTTGAAATGTGTTATTTGAACTATGCTATTTTTAAGATAAAATATATGAAACACTACATATGGTATCGATGAATTGAAGCCTTCGAGATATCCATGGGCGCGTCAAATCTGATGTATGGAAACGAATTCGCAATCATCAAGTTTTTGCGGAAGTCATATGTGATGACAAGAGTAATGCAATATTTGCAGTGAATATTGAACAAATGGCAAATGGACCACCAAAGACATTTGTCTCCAAAGTTTGGAGACATAGTAATCACAGCAGTATTTGGGAAGAGCTGCAATACGTTGAAAATAGCCTACATTATCACAGGATATCCATAATCATTCTCCCAAACAGTAGATAAATTTGTTGAGGTTGATGTTGTTGAAGGAGAATAGAGAGATAATAAGTTTGTTGCTTTATTACCAAAGACTCCAAATATCCGACAACGAGTTGTCTTAGTTACTTGTTATGTAACAAAGCAAACTATATTTGCAGTGCATCTTCACAAGGATGATACTGATATTACTGAAGTATGTGTGTCCAGTAAGTATTTATATTTTGGATTATTATTATAATATTTCTATCCATTATTATATATTTAATTAATCTAAATATTAAGATTAACTTTGGACTTGTTGTAATGGTTGTATGCAAACAAACAATTAAAATTGCTTACTGGTATGCATTACATCGCTGTTGAGACTTTGTACTTTGGTTTTTCCAATGCTATTGGTTACTGACATGTTAAAATTAATAGTATTATTACAGATCAAGGACAAAATGGTGAAACTGAGTTTAGAGAATTCTGTTTTCAAATCAAAATTGTAATAGTAATAGTGTATTTACAAGTGTAGTGTTTCCTTCAAAACAATGTGTTTCTGTATTCAAGTTAACTACCAGTAAGCATATATTATGTTGTTCTGAACAAAATTGTAGCGATATCTTAGGAAGTTGTATAAAATTGATGGTGATTGCGTTAGTATTAGCTCAACCGTTTAAATTATTTATTTATTGTTCATTAGATTACTTAACGTAAATGGTATTTTTACCTTGTCGGTGACCTCTGCATCACTGTTTTGACCTCTTACTCTCTGTAGTAACTATATCAAGATACAGATAAATCCTCTATATCTAAGTGTACGCTGGGACATTTAGAGAAAATAGTAATTCGAGTAACATCATTACTATATAACAGGAACGATATTAATATTAATATATTTATCAAAATATTGATTTAGGATTGTTCGTCTCATTTGACTCTATTAACAAATCTTTCAAGACTGTTTAATAATTTTATCCGCTCACTTGTGTCTTGTAACAAAAACAACCCTACATTTTCTAAGATCTTTAATGCACTCCTGACACTTACAGTTACGGTGGGAATTTCAATGCTGTTATCCATTTCTTCAGCATTCACCTCATCAACATCTCCAATAAGTTGGCTATCATCTGCTGAAGAAATAATACCTTGATTAATTAAAATTTTGTGGCGGGGCGTAACTCCACTTTGGAGTGGAGTTATCGAAGCAGCAACTCATTTTAGAAAAATCTACGGCTTTAAAAAACAAAAAGCAGAATTAATCCAAATGCTTCGAGCCCAAAATTATCTGTCTTCGCAAATTGGCGACAATACTTTTTCGAACATGTGACGTAACTTGGACAGAACAAACATTTGAATCAAAGAGCTAACGAAATTCTACAGTGTTGGTTACACAGTACTAACAGAATAATTTCTGTTTAATAACTGCAATTGATTAAATTTTCCATTCTCTTAACATTAACTGCCTTTTCAGACAAATTACTATTCGCATATCCTGTTCACGCAAATTTTGGTAGATTCCGCATCGCGTCCGAGAATGTAACCGCGATATAATCACTGTCAGGCATACAATTACTGTTGATTGAAACTTCCTCTTGATTTTTATTATCAGTTCTCGGACGCATATAATCGACATAAGCTTTTTACTGGTCGAGAAACGGTATGGTCACGTGATTTTGGGACGATGTGTGGTAAAACCGGTCGAAATTAATATTAATATTAATAATACTGATGCCGAAGGTCGCTTAGTCTTGGCCGACGGAATTGATAGCGATTAAGTGGATGATCTAATAATAATCAAATAATTATTTTTCCATAAAGTCTTACAACCGCCGGTAAACGGATTTCAATGCTCCTCTTACATACAATACAAAATAGCTCTCGCGACTATCGCGCATGTCCTTGTTCTTCTTATCCTACATGAGTTGCAATCACTTGAATTAAAAATGCTCGCTAAATGACACAATCTTAATACTCCATATAAACATCGAGTCATACTTAAGTCGAGAACAGGCCATCATGTGTTGCAATCTCTGTTACGCCTTCGTTGTTTCCGCTGGGATTTTCATTTTGACAACATCATTCAACCAGACTTATAACTCTGTCCATCCTCCAACTTGGCTCCATAATCAGCGACATCATTCATACAGCGTAGAGGTTATCTTGTCGTCAGGATTCACTAAACAACCTAAACACGGTCTTCAACATTTGTATCGTCACCCGTTTCAGCAAATGCTTTCCGCGATTCTGTGGCGGATGCCAACATCTCTTGAGCACAGCATCCGTGTATCCCAAATCTCCAATAACTCATTCCTACATTGGAATCCTTCACGCTTCATCCAGTTCCGTGACTGACCTGTATTCTAGAATCAATAAGACATCGGCCGACATAATAGTTTGCTTCATCCATTGCTCGTTGATTGTGTAACTTGCGTGCTGTTTGAATAATCGCTTTTGGATGTGTAGAAGTGTGTAGATCCTATTCAGCGAGGTTACTAAATCCAGTCGAGGTAATCAGAAGCATGCTCGCGTGAATTATAGTACGTCGTTTCTAGTTTTTTCAACTCTTCTGCGACGTAATGCATAGTCGGACGACTCCCAGGAACTTGCCTCCAACATTTCTGTATTATACTTACATGCTTTCCTGTGTACCGAAAATTATTGGCGGGGGCAGAGTGTCTGAATCCTTTAACATGGTATATACTTCGTCAATGGTTTTGTCTGGGAAAGGAATCTCATGAGAAGTTATTTCCCAGATAAGCATGCCAAAGCTACATATTTAAACAAAAAATTAGTTACTTATACTAATGTCAATCGTTTAACTTTTTGCTGTGAACAGTGATATTACAAACTTGCCTGTATACATTGGCTGACATAGAATAAGAAGCGTGTATCCTTTGTTTTTTCAGGACATAACCATCTGACATCATCAATCTCTTCAGTAACTGAAAACCGGAGCGTCTTGTATTACTGATTTGTTCATATCCACGATCACGTTATGACCAAGTTGCGAAAGAAAAAAAAAGCGAGTTTGCTGAACACTAGAAAAAATACTAGTTCGATATTGCAATACTTTTTTCCTACCTGCGAACAGAATAAGCTTACCGTGACAAGCAGCAAGCGCTCTTGCTAATCGAATTATCCATATTGTCTTTTGTGCCCAGAATATTTCTCGTGCTTCCTAAGATATTCGTAGTGCGTTCCCCTATTCTGGCCATTCTGTAATCATGTAACAACTCTTCCATCGTCCAGTAGAATGTCGTGGCTATAATAAACAATAATATGCGTCAGTAAATAATAATATAAGCGGGTAATTACGTACTTTTTCATGAAGAAATCTGCACCCAATCCAGAGCTCTAATGTAGGCCTTACCAATGTCGTCATTCACGCTTCCAATTTTAACTTTTGCAGCATAAAGACAACAACAATATATAACCTTTGTAGGACCATTCCATTAGGTGAGCGATTAATTCTGGGCTAATCGCTAATTTGTCTCTTATTTCCATTGTTAACGGAATGTCATGGCAAATTGCAGTAACTGAGAAAATGTCATTGACTTTCGCTATCACAGCGTTTCACAGCTCTGACATCAGTTTGCATAGCGTTCATCTTATTATCCGAGTCTACCATGTTTTGATCCATCCTCTTCGCCATTCCCAAAGACGCTTATTGTTTTCCAAGGTTACCCTTAAATTAGCAACAATGAAAACATTGTCCGGGTCAGTAAATAAGTCACGCATCTTTCGCTCTAACTGTAAAAATTCAATTTGCGATTTCAATAAAAGAAAATCATATCATAAAATATCGTTATTGTTTACCTTGCGCACGCAATAGTTCTTTCATTTTAGGCGTGGTATGTTGGACCAGAAAATCTTTACCAGTTTCTCAGCGCGTTCATCAAACTTGGGATATATTCGTCGTCCATTGCTTCGCTATTATCACGGATTGTTCGCTTCACTTCTAACATATATTCCTTCATTTAAAAGCAATGCTTTTCTATTATATCTTGTAATGACAATGAGCACAACGATTCGCTTAACGACAGTGAATAGTTCGGCGACATTGGCGCAAAACACCGCTCCCACTCCAAATTGCTAGGGTAAAACCCAGATTGTGTCGTACACCGTATTTCTTCGATCAGCTGCTATTTGATCCAGTTCATAGCTTTTTGTTCAGCAGTTTCCGCTCCAATTCCATGTTGATAGCCAGAGTAATCAGTCCTTATTAGCGATTCTCCGGTCATAAGTGCTTCTGTTTCGTCACTGAATTACATTTCGATCTTGTTAATTAGAAATTCACCTAACAATTTATAATTTAAAACAAAAGTCAGCTCTTCCGTATTAAATTTGCTAGGAAAAGAAAGTCGAAATCTCGATAATAGTCTTACTCGATTTTTATTAAGGAATCATCTGCGGAAAATAAGCAATCGTTCTCAAGCGGATGCAGTCTTTTTGACCATTCATTAAGAATTTCGTCTAATCGTTAGAAAAATAAAGACTTAAAATCAACACTTTGTAATGCTGTTGGTTAGCAGCTCAACCAAATACTTACCATGTCCTTACTACCCATCCACCTGTTTGAAATAATACAACATCCTTGCAATCGTTTTCGTTCCAGAGTGCGGAGATTGAATAAAGCGTTGTAACCTACTGCCCACTTTAATTCTGCAATTCATCCAACATCATACTCAGAGAGTACATTATCCAATGCTCTTTGCGGTTGTTCATGCTCAATCGCTTTCAATTGCTTTAACAAATATCCTCATGCATAAGATTGATATTCCATAAATTCTTTGTTCATTCGGAAAATAACCGCCTCATCAGGTGTCTCGTAATACAAAGACGTGTTTTCTTTAAATGAGAAAATGGTTTCGGGAGAGTCCTCTTTATCAACTGCATATATAAACGTGGTATTTTGTGAGTATTTATAAGTTGTACAGAGGATCTTGTCTTGGAGAATCTTGATGGACGAATTCGATTGAATGGCACACTTATGCGCAAGACGCACACCATTTGATCAAAAGTAAACCGTGAAATCTCTAGTGCTGTCATTTCGTTGATCATCACGTAGTCGTTATGCTGATTTGGGCCTTTGGCCGGAGTACAAATTGACCAATGAAATTGCGAGTGATCTGAGCTGTGCGCGTCAACAATTAATAGTATGTTAGAAGTCAGTCTAAACTATATCAAACGAACATATCTTTTCTTAAAAATATTCTGTAACATATATTTTGATTTAACAATATACGTAAGAGATAATTATGTTACTAAATGATGAGAAAGGATTAGTATTAGACCGGGAGACCATACTAAGGAGGTATTTATATTGCGCTTCTCCGAAACGACAAAGGTAGGTACTTAATTGTTTTATCTAGCAGAAGTCGAAGCTTGCTATGACACATAATGCCGTAAACAGCGGCTAACTTCAAACATAGGTATTAGGGCTCATATTCGTCACGCAGAAATTGTCTGTCGTTTACAATAAGTTTACTCGCTATAATCACTTACGTTATGACCACTTTTTACGACAATTGGTTCCAACAAAAATAAACACAATGGAATTTAATGACAACCAAGTAACGTTCAACCCATTGTTGTTGTACAAAAAAAAAATAGAATAGAATAAAAAACGTATTTGGGAAAATTTTTTTGCTACGTAAACAAACTGTTAAAAAAAAGTACTGTGGCAAGAAAATAAACACGTTTAAGAATTTTATTAAACTACAACTGTTGGAGAAACAAAGTGGTAAGATAAGAAAATTAAGCATTATTGTTGAACTTCCCGGTATTTAAGACTTAGACCATCTGGGTTTAAGCTTAAGATGGTGTGCGACACACATTTACCAGCCAAACTTGTCAACCAAATTTGGGTTAAAAAATACGGACGGATCGTGTGAAATTAACAGATCTGCAATTCGATTACATTTGATTAAGCAATAAACAGAATGATAGGACGGCAGTGTATGCCACTTCTTATGTACTGTTTATTGCTTGATGGGTTATCTAACAAGTTTGCGCGCTAATCATACAATTCTATATCGGCTTACGAATCAACATTTAAAATTAGTCAAACACTATACGGCGTACGCTATGCCGAACTTTCAATTACATTCACCAAATGAATCGTTCTGTAAATTCACTCTATTCTTCCTAATCTTCGACAATGGCGTAATGTTGTGCAGGTTTTTTGTGAGAATAAACGTTATTTCGATCAAATGTATTATACGATTCATATTTAGCGATACATGCAATGTCTCCGAAATAAACGTTCTGAACTTTCAATGTATGTGAATGCGGTTTTGGGGATCAGACGGAGCTTACATTGTTACGCATGACAGCCAAAGCATATCAACATAATCGACAAGCAGTAGTTTGTTACGTGTATATTATTTATCGTGGGGTAAAACTTATGTGTATACAGACAGTATAATGGAAAGACGTAATAGTAATATCACAAGTTACTTGCGCTTATATAGATTATTATTTTTGATGCCAAAAGAGCATAATTTACAACAATCCAGTTGTTTATGCGCATGTACAGTTGATATCGTAATGTCAATAAAATACTTTATAAAGTTTTTACCCGATAGTCTTTAATATTCCGATCTGACATATGTCAGTTCGGAATGGACATAGATTCTGATCTGACATATGTCAGTTCGGAATAGACATAAATTCTGATCTGACATATGTCAGTTCGGAATGGACATAGATTCCGATCTGACATAAATTCCGATCTGACATACAACACCATCAAACGATACTAATTTGTTTATGCAAAACCTTAGCGATGAATAATTACAGATTCTGTCCATATTGTTCAAAGCCGGTATAGTTCAACAAAGACGCATTATGAACCGGCTCGTTTCCAATAATGTAAGTGTTTAAATTCTTCTAAGTACGACTTGCTAAACGTATTTTATACTCTCAGGAAGGAAAACAGTATTCTCGTATAAAAATCTATTATCGTATGCAGGCAAAGAGATATACAAGATAACAGAGATTGCATTCGGACCCAAAGCTTCTTCGAAATTTTCGCTGATCGAGTTTCTAATACAGTATATGCTCTGGCTCCGTTGCGATACCTGTTGGCTCGTTATGAATATTGCAAATATAATTGTCGTTAGTAAATTGCAAATGTTGTATGTCAGATCGGAATTTATGTCAATTCCGAAGTAACATATGTCAGATCAGAATTATTCAATAAACCATTGTCATTTTTATTATTATTGCTAATTTTCTATTATTCTTATCTGACACATGTCAGTTTGGAAGCGACATAAAATTCTGATCTGACATATATCACTTGGAATTCCGATCTGACATATGTTACTTCGGAATTGACATAAATTCTGATCTGACATACAACACAAACAAATATTTAAGATAATTGTCAGAGCATTAGCTAACGTAACTTTATGTGCCGTCATTACGAGAATTTGACAATCGACATTAGGTTACTCGAACTTAGAATAATTGTAGTACAAATTAGTTCATATTACTATAATTAGTTTGTCAATTAGTAGACCGATCTTTCCATTTCTTTACTTAATTTCTATATCGCAATCATTATAAGCCTGTGTTTACTCTAGAATAAACTTTCCAACCATATCATTTATTGGTTGTGCATATTAAACAATGTGCCTATTGCCAATCGGGCAGAATTTTAAAGCACATGCTTTAAATAATGGCTGGTGTATTGGCTATCAACCATTTGGTTGACCTTCAATAAAAGCGCATTATAGGCACATCACAACTTCGAATAGCTTTGATCACGCTTGGATGGACTCCACGGCACTAATCGAACAAGAAATCGATTACCAAAAATTCATTCGCATTTTACATATTCTCAAACATGATCATATGATACATTATTACCGTGGAGGATCCAATATTGCGACTACAGACTCATTCTCGCGTCTGAACACATCAATATTGTTTCATGTTCCCCACGATAAATTTAAATTCACACCAAAAACAGTAGTCAATCCCTCCGTTTCCTTCTTTTCCTCCTAAAACTTGTAACCGATGATGATATGCTTACCATTCAGCTTGACATTAAATTTCGCATCCTCCACAGCCTCAGGTACCATTTCGACTCCAACAACCTTTTCAACGTGCTTCGTCATGGTGACTCCGATGGTTCCGTTCCACAACAAAAGTCTAGTAATAAGTTCACAACACTTTACGTACAAAGTTCCGTGCAACTTGGACACATGTTGATGAAAAGGTCGTCAGGCTCAGAGACACATAAAGAGTGAACAATAAGATGGAGAGTGACGATAGGTCAATGGTACGATGCTCTAATAATTGTGGTCAAATCCAAGTAACAAATCGAGAAACGCTTTGGGTGACAACCCGTCAGCCACTTCTGGAGGTTATTGAGATCCATATGAACTTGCTTAGAGAAGTATGTGTCAAATTTAAGCCGGTCAATTTCTTAGATTACCGATGGAACTGTAGTATTACTATAACTGAAAGAGAATGCGTCCTAGTAATTATCGTTGGTAACCTTAACCACTAGTCTTACGAAAGAGAGTGATCAGCATATATTTAATTCAACGCGAGTCTTTTCCGTCTTTACCTTGTTTCGTTGCTTTATTGTACACATTGTTCTGATATAATCCTGTTCAATGAATTAGTCCTCAGGATTATTCGTAGTTTCTCTTCCTTTTATACCTGCGTAGCCCTGCGATATTTTTTTCTGTTTCCAATACATGCAGGCAATGTGTTGGCTACTAGGAATGCAAAAAAAAAAAAGCCACCTTTTTTTTAAACGCATGGCAATTTATCTTGTCTTTCCAGAGAAAAGAAATGTGCGGAATATTAGAGTATTACGTACCATTACACTGTATTAATTCAATGACGTATTATTGGCTCATAACGCAGAATGTTAGTCGCGTAACGGAAGTAAATAAAAAGGTCGCAATCTCTATTAAAAAGCCAATCTAATGTCGACTGCTTGAGATTCGGACATATCCGTTGTCGTATGTCTCCAAGAAACGAAAAGCTGCCAAAGCTGAAAGCACTTCTGCGCCAAAACGTCGGTTACGGCAGCGCAAAGAGGAAATAGACCGGTGGTCGAGCAAAGCTTCTTTAAGTTCTCTGGGTCTTGGCGAGGAAAGGGGCATTCGCATTCATTTATTACTTGTCTCATGCTAAAATTTGATTTATATTGCTAGATTACCTCTAGTTAACCAGTAATAACTCTTTTTTACTGGTTAGATAATATACAGATTTTCCAATTCTCCGCATACATCAACCGTGATATCATACCCCATTGATATCCCATTACATGCATCGGGTTTTTGTTCATAATTTAGTATTTAATTGTTTTTCTACGTCGTTCAATCATTACTGGTTAATAAGTCCGATAATTTAATCCCTCTATGACGTAATTACACACGTACATGGTTTTTATTATCTTGAACAAATAATTACAGTAAGGCATGGCATGAAAAAAGTGTGCCAACGAAAGAAAGATATTATAATCTGTCCCTAACTACTAAATACTTAGCAGAAGAATATGAGGGTGCGCCAGTTTGGTTTACTTTATCTTGGTTGAAGTTTTTATCATAATTAAGGTGGACGACCTAAATATCATTACTATTACTTTAACACCTGACACCCTCTATCATAACCCGCATATATCAGCAAAACTGGCCGGTTCCATGAGGTTGATTGCTTTCACCATACTATTGCAGAAATACTGGTAGACTCTACTCTTATCGTTATCATGAGATGGATAGAATGAAGATCAGCGATATTAACCAGCAAAGCTAATTATTTTACGAGGGTATGCGGTTGTTTCGGTTTCTTCATCTATGAAGCAACCCATAGAATCGAACTAGAATTTTCGTTCGCTATTCTATTGCTATTGACAACTACTTAATATGCCTTGTGCGAGTACTCCCCACACGCCATGTTCAGTTCTCTAGTCTCAAGGTCAGATACACATCCTGCCAACTCCATAAGCACTGCATCCACTTTGGTATTCATATGGGAATACATTAATGAGATAAAGAGTCCCAAACTGCTGTATAATTACCTCCGCAAACCCAGGAACAAGACAATATCCAAGAAACTTTTCACTCTAGTTGTAATTATAAATATTGTTGTTATAATTTCAAGATAGCTTATCCCTACTGATATGAAGCTTTTCATAACAAACTAAAAACCCCATAGACAATGTGTCATGCTGATGACAATTTTAAACTTCAATCGAATAGCACTGATTATCTGGGGAGATGAGATTAAAGTGTTTCAACAATAGATAACAATACACTTGATATGGCACAGTGTAGACACATTAATGTTATCACTTTTCATATTAAAAATATTTTCATTGACTGAAGAAATATCGCCAATTTTTGTTCTCTTTTACTTGGGGTGTCGTTAACTATATTAACGAAAGCGGTACGTTTTTAGATTGCTCCTGGCGTATTTACAGAATCCTTTGTTCTATGGTCGAGTTGCCATTTGTCTTGTTTTCCAAGAAACTGTGATTGCGACATCGGTATCCATGCGTGCCGAAATAAATTGATATTCCAATAAAACTTTTTTCTAGGAAGAACAAAATTCAAATCGCATGTATCAATGATTTTTTCTTCGATTTTGTGATGGCATATCTCAAGCGGTCATTAGTCGAGTAGGAGGTTAACATTATTATGTGCGGTTGAAACAGGTCTTTCGATAAGGTTTGGCTTGCATGGATAAGGTATAACCCGTCTTGACAATAGTAGCATGGTTTGTACCCGTTATGCTAGTTGTAATTATGACATTAAAGGAATCAATTATCTTTAGGCGAGGTGGTTGGTATCCCGTCTTGTAGTACGAATTATTGTCCAAATCAATTAAGTCATCTGTGTAGTAAACTCGTATATTTGGTATCCGTCTTCGGTGTCGATTCTCGAGATAGCGATCCTTTTTAGACATTTTTTTTTGTTATAATTTTCATCTGAGACAGAGACAATGTATACAATAGCAATCATATTGGTTAATATAATCAATAGTAATGATCGCCTGTGACGGTGTTAATCTCCGTATCTATAACAAGAACAATAGTTATAGTAACAAGTTACCCAACCATTAATTACAGTTCAAATCATCTACCTTCATCCGAGCACTTTCCGTACAAACATTAATACCCTTTTCTAATATTTAGCCATGATTAATATGGTTAAACATTATACATCAAAATGTTACTATTAATATATTAATAACAAAATATGACGAGTAAAATTATACTACTATATTAGTACATAATGTATAACCACACTTAATTAACGTTTGATTGTGTTTAACTGTGTTCGACCAAGTATTCGTAAGTTTTGTAGCATTAATTTGATTTCCTTATATCGTATTATTCTTTTTATTTATAATCGTAATTCTAATTCATTTGCTATATTTTTAAAGTCGATAATCCGTATAACGGAAAGGTACATGTCTAACGGCCAACTAAGTGACAATTACGAGTGTTAATTATTTCTTAATAACGCGTTAGTTTTAGTCAGACCCCAACCGATAGACTACGCAACGGTAAAGAATGTGTATTTGACCTGAGAATAATTAACATCGAGATATCATCCGCTCTCCCTGACTTTTGACTCGACATGCAAAATTGAATTAATAATCTATAAGCCGCGCGTCAAGAGTTTGCCATTTGGTGAGTAGCGACAGGGAGTCGTTTGCTGTTTGATGGATGCCATGTTTATATCATATATGCGTAATATGGTGTGAACTAATGTTGCAATTTTCACTTTGATAATGAAAAAGGTTGTGCAATGCAACAATCTTCGATATAAAAGAAAAGAAAAATTGAATAAGTATTGTGTCATAATAGTCAATATCAAAACAAACGTTTCGACAATATATCCTACTTCAACCATCCCGCCATCTCGACGACGGATTTTTAGTAACGAAGAAGGCTTGTCTTCGAATTAATTACACTCGATGGTAGCGTACTTTCAGATTATAATGACTTAGAAACTAAGGTTCAACCATCAATATATCCTATTTCAACCACACCGAAGAATATCTCGACGGTTTTTTCAGTAACAAAGAAAGAACAGCTTGAGCACTGTGTAGGAACTCTAAAGTGCTTTCTGTGTATTTTATTCGTCTCAACAACTTTTCAGTTAATGAGAGTTGGTACGCAGCGTACCTTCAGATGTACACACTATAAAGCCACCCTTAAACACATACTTTTAAGCAATCTACAAGCTACCACATTCTCCGAATTACACTGTAGTGGCAGCGTACTCTTCGGATATAATAACAACTCGACAATTACTTAGTGAGAGATACTCACCTCTGCTTTGTATTGATAGGTTTATTCAAAGGTTCTCCTGCACCGCATATTTTTCAAAGTCAAACCCAGGCAACGTAATAGACTTGCTGTTGGCGAAACTCTTCGTCAGTTAGTGGTCGATAGATCGTCCGTCAGCCCTTTTTTTTAGAGTTTTTCGTGCAAAAAACTGTCGTTTGGGGGGGGGGGGAGATATTGTGATGAGTTTATATACAGTCGACCCCCATATTTCCCAGCAAAAATTTACGGTCACGTGATTATTTTTCTTCTTCACAAAAGTCATATTTTCATAAACCTTGTCTAGTTACGTTCTCAATGCTTCAACTTCAATTCTCTGATTTTCCAGTTGCGCAGTTTGATTGTTCAGACATGTTCTTATTCACGATTTTTGTTGACTTTCTAGCCACAAGTCTTCTAGTTTTGTTCGAGTTCTATTGTACAGTCAGATGTCTAACACGGCTTTCATCGCATTTGTCTGAATCAAGTCGAGACCGTTTATTTTCTTGATTAGAACCTGTAAGATGCTGTCAAGACTTATTAGTAGCAATAGCGTGGCGTGGTCATAGGAGTATGGAGATCAACAATTTCAGAGATAGTGCAAGTCGCAGTTGTTTCCTGAGTGCGTGACATGCCACCAAATTGTCTTAACCCTATTTCACTGTGCTTGTCTGTCAAATTGTTGAGATCTCTTTGGATAGACTGGACCGTTGAGATACTCAGTTAACGCGCTGTTTCGTCTTAGTACAACAGAGATTTGTAGTTTTCGCTTCTCGAAACGAGCTGATTATTTTTTGATTACTGTAAATATGAAAAGTTGACATC